TACCAAGTACTCACCAAACATGCCACATGACGTGTGAAAAAAAAAAGGTTTTATTTAAACATGGACTGACTTTAAGTGCAGGCTGTAAACACACAGAAACACGAACAGCAAAGCCTACATATATACAAAAACAAATTTGTAAATAAGTACTTTACATGGCTTTTCAATAAATGGCCTCAAATGAAGAAAGTTGTGTGTCTACTTTGTCAAGAACTCTGTAGAACTCCACTTTGTGGTACTCCACAGCAGATTCTGGCCTGTGTGCAGGTGCTGGCCCAGAATATCTCTTTGGGGGCCTATGTGTTAGAGACAGCTTCTCAGCCATATCCACTGCTTCCTTAAAGACTGCCTCAAAGTGGGCTGGCTTTCTTTTGTCCCGTAATCTCTCTTGGACAACTGAGACTGCAGAGACCATGCCCTCCAATGTCTGGGTGCTTTTTTGGAGCGATGTATTCAGCACTTCCAGTTCGCTCATTACATCTAAGGCCAGTGAGCCCCAGTAGCCCCAATTTCAGTAAAATCTCAGGCTTTTAAATGTTGTAAAATCACCCATAAGTTTTAGGTGTTTTAGTCCTTTATAATTAAATTTATACATTCAAAAAACATAAGGAAGTTATTATCAACGTCTCACTCTACTTTACAGCTTTGTATTAACATTGCTTTAATGTGTGTTATTGTGTACAGCTTGGGATGTTAAGGGCCATGTTAATTATAGATTAAATAATTTACTGTTCTGTAGTTTAAGCAATTGTCATATTTGTAACATCACTAGTCTTTCCTGTGACATGCACCTTTTATTTATTTATATATACACACACACACATTATATATATATATATATATATATATATATATATATATATATATATATATATATATATATATATATATATATATGAGAGAGAGATTCTTTCCTCCGAGTTACAGTGACATAGACAAACTTGAAGATACATGACATCCTCAAATTTCTATTCTATTAAAATTTCTGTATCTGTATAATGGGTCTGTTCTATATGTTGTCTTCTCAATTCAGAAGGCCCCATGCCTGTCTTTGCCTAGGGCCCAAAATTTCCAAAATCCGCCCCTGTGTAGTGGAATTTGTCTAGCTTTGAAGTTAGTTTTTCTCATGATTCAACCTGTAACAACCTAAACCATTTGGCTTGGCATAAATACGGATTCAAGTAGCCTACTGTAGCCTACATATTTCTGAAAGACCCCCAACAACTCCAGAAAAAGTCGGAACAGTCGATTTCATTATAAATAAATAAATGCCAGTCGATTCCCCCTGCCTCCCGCCTTATGACATTGGCACCTCTCTTCACGCTATTCTCACTGACCGTCTCCACTCTTTTTTCCACGGCGACATCGAACAGACAACCAAAAAAATGCAAGGTGATATGATACCGCAATGAACAGTTTACTTACAGTTGGTGCTTTTCGAAAAAAGGATGCAATTGTTTTCTGTTTTTTCGGTTTGGCTGGCCTCATGTTGATGTCCGGACTCCGGAATTGGGAACTGTCCCGCCACTACTGTCTGTCTGAGTAACCATGGAAACCAGGCTCGAGACGTACAGGTGCTGGTCATAAAATTAGAATATCATGAAAAAGTAGATTGATTTCAGTAATTCCATTTAAAAAGTTAAACTTGTATATTATATTCATACATTACATACAAACTCATATATTTCAGATGTTTATTTTGTTTAATTTTGATGATTACAAATGACAACAAATGAAAATCTCAAATTCATCATATCAGAAAATTAGAATATTACTGAAGACCAATAAAAACAAAGGATTTATAGAAATGTTGGCCAACTGAAAAGTATGAACATGAAAAGTATGAGCATGTACAGCACTCAGTATTTAGTTGGGCCTCCTTTGGCCTGTATTACTGCAGCAATGCGGCGTGGCATGGAGTCGATCAGTCTGTGGCACTGCTCAGGTGTTATGATAGCCCAGGTTGCTCTAATAGTGGCTTTTAGCTCTTCTGAATTGTTGGGTCTGGTGTATTGCATCTTCTTCTTCACAATACCCCATAGATTTTCTATGGGGTTAAGGTCAGGAGAGTTTGCTGGCCAATTAAGAACAGGGATACCATGGTCCTTCAACCAGGTACTGGTAGCTTTGGCACTGTGTGCAGGTGCCAAGTCCTGTTGGAAAATGAAATCTGCATCTCCAAAAAGTTGGTCAGCTGCAGGAAGCATAAAGTGCTCTAAAACTTCCTGGTATGTGGCTGCGTTGACCCTGGACCTCAGAAAACACAATGGACCAACACCAGCAGATGACATGGCACCCCAAACCATCACTGACTGTGGAAACTTTACACTGGACTTCAAGCAACGTGGATGAAGTGCCTCTCTTCTTTTCCTCCAGACTCTGGGACCTTGATTTCCAAAGGAAATGCAAAATTTACTTTCATCAGAGAACATGACTTTGGACCACTCACCAGCAGTCCAGTCCTGTTTCTCTTTAGCCCAGGCAAGACGCTTCTGACGCTGTCTGTGGTTCAAGAGTGGCTTGACACAAGGAATGCGACAGCAGAAACCCATGTCTTTCATACGTCTGTGTGTGGTGGTTCTTGAAGCACTCACTCCAGCTGCAGTCCACTCTTTGTGAATCTCCCCCACATTTTTGAATGGGTTTTGTTTCACAATCCTCTCCAGGGTGCGGTTATCTCTCTTGCTTGTACACTTTTTTCGACCACATCTTTTCCTTCCCTTCGCCTCTCTATTAATGTGCTTGGACACTAAGCTCTGTGAACAGCCAGCCTCTTTAGCCATGACCTTTTGTGCCTTGCCCTCCTTGTGCAAGGTGTCGATGGTCGTCTTTTGGACAACTGTCAAGTCAGCAGTCTTCCCCATGATTGTGTAGCCTATAGAACTAGACTGAAAGACCATTTAAAGGCTTTTGCAGGTGGTTTGAGTTAATTAGCTGATTAGAGTGTGGCACCAGGGGCCATCAATTTTGAACCTTTTCACAATATTCTAATTTTCTGATATGATGAATTTGAGATTTTCATTTGTGGTCATTTGTAATCATCAAAATTAAACAAAATAAACATCTGAAATATATGAGTTTGTATGTAATGTATGAATATAATATACAAGTTTCACTTTTTAAATGGAATTACTGAAATCAATCTACTTTTTCATGATATTCTAATTTTATGACCAGCACCTGTAAATGCCAGAGACAGGATAACTTTTAGATTTGAATCTCTACGACGCAGGCAGCCTGCAGTTAAACAAAACGATTGCCCGTCTATGATCTGACTGTTTTATGTTGTTGTTGCAAAGCAGTAAATTAGAAAAAGCTTTTTGATTTTCTGTGAGTTTCGCCATATGTTTTTTTTTTTTTTTTATAAAAGTGGGGGGGACGGATTGAGGGTCATTCGAATCTGTGTACGTCAGAACACCCCTGACGTACACGCTATCTGCGCCCTTGGGTTTTCCTCTGGAGAACTTACTGTCATATTGATGATAACTGTAACATTGTATCTACTTTGTTAGTCACTTTAGATAAAAGTTTCTGCTAAATGCATAAACATTTTATTGTATGAAATAAATTTCCTTATACGTTGCCTGTAAAGGCTGATTTATACTCAGAAACCAGGTTGTTTGCATGTGTGTCGCAGTTAACACCAATATGCCCCCGTTACTTCCTCAGACACTCTAGTGCACCTCTCCGAAATTTTAGGTGACCGCAGACAGTGCCACAGACAGGAGGCCTCTAATTGTTCAAATCTACATCCGCTCTATGTATATTTCCTGTTTGCTACCTTACTAGCTTGTTTTGTTTTTGTATGACCGCCATTGTGGAAAACAACTCGTAAAGATGGACCAGCTAGAAGAAAGAGGTGCGTGAGAATGCTGGGACCCTTTTTCCACCTGGATACCCTCTCTTTTTCGCCCTCACGTCCCTACGTTGTGGCACAAACTTGCCCCTTGCGTTTTTCCACTTCCTCATCGCCTCGTCCGTATATAGACCCACAGCTAGTTCGTGATTGTCCATCTTGCGTTCTGGCGTGGAATAACATAGAGCAGATCCCGTTTCAAAATTGGACATAAATCAAAAATATATGCAACAAGCTCACTGCGACACACTGCTGCAGGAGTACAATGAGCCCTTAACTCGTTGCCATTTTTGACGGCACTATGCATTTGGACCAAATAATCATGCTAATACACTTTCTGTCACCTACTTTGCACCCTGGGGCTAGATTTTAAAAAAAGGACACATAGTTTGAACTGTTGGCTCTAAACCTGGCCCTGACCAGGTTCAGTTCACTGAGTCCATCGCTATTGTAATCGACTTGGAGAGAGCCAGCTTTATGATAATGAAATGGACACAAAATAAAACAGATTTGGCCAACTAAGCCTGGTTAAAGAACTAAGCCAGTTTTGAATTGAATAAACTGCATAAACCCACTCTGACACACTCACACACAACTACATGCAGGTGAAATAGTATAGTCCCCACATTTTGCACATACTGGAAACAATGCATCTTACACTATCAACACTAAACCTCTGTTGGTCCATTTAGAGGATGCATATACACAGTGTACTAGTGCCCACTTCTCTTGGGAGGAGACTAGAATTCCTCACCGACCAGAAGACAAAAAAGCACATAGGGCCAAGCAAAAGATTTATAAACATCTAACAAAAAAATAGTATTGTTTGAGAGCTTAAATGTAATATTAGTAAAAAGTAGAAACAATGGCAAGAAGTTAAAATTACAATTACCTTAAAGTAATGAAATAGTTAAAATGCAGTGTGTGTGTGTTTTGATAGTATATAACACTTCTACTTTAGATTTAAACTCTAGTGTGTGTCAAAAGAATAATAATTTACTGTTGCTTTAAGTGACTCTTGAAATGTATGCTCAAGTTCACTTCAGACAACCAAAAGTGTTTATACCCATGTCTAACAGTACTTACACTGATAATTTCTTGTATTTTTCTACATTTTCTCTTCTCGTTCCATCCATACCTTTAGAACTCAACACCCCCTCCCCCTCCCCCTTCTTCCTGTTTCACTTCACCTCCCCCTCCCGTTCATGCTACAGACGGAGTGAGTTATGCAGTCCTTCCGTGAGCGCACCAGTGGTTACCACAGCAACCAGCCCTGCTATCAGCAGGAGCCCCATGAATTATCTCGCCTGGAGACCTACAGACAACACCCACATCATCCCCATCCGCAGCATCCACACCCCGGCCCTGGTCCACATCCCGGCCCTGGCCCAGGGCACAACAGGTCAGGCTATGATGGTATGTCTAACACAGCAAACGTGCCAACAGGTGGAGCAGCTGGAATTGGAGGACCCAAGGACTGTTACAGCCAACAAAACTATTCTGGGTACCCAGGAAATACTGGGGGCAGTGGAAATGGAAATGGGGGTTCACCGGCCTCACAAGCAAAAAAATCCTTTAGAGGAAGCAAAGTTCCCCCTCCAAACCCTGGTCAGCACCTGCAGGGGCCCGGGGGCTATAGTAATCACATGGGCCCAGGAAATTATTCTGCCCAGTATATGAGTGAGGGCCATCTCCAGCAGAAGTGGGATGACCCTGCACAGATAGCACAGTATGAACAGGAGATGGTGGGTCGACTTGAAGCTGGTGCTTCCCCTGCCACTGGCTCCTCCCACTATATGGACTCAAACATGTTGGGGCACTCCCAAACCCCGTGCCACCAGCCCTCAACCCCAAGTTATACAAGTCCACACCACCATCCCCATCCTCCTAACCCTGCCCCCTCACCTCTCATGTACCCCCAGAGTCACCTACACTACCCTCAACCCTCTCCCTCTCCATCCCCATACATGGAAAAATGCAGTCCTATGCCCCAGTGTTTTAAAGGCTACAACATACCTCCAAGTTCTCAGTATAGCAGACAGCTTAGTAGTCATAGCAGTCTAAAGCAGGGGGGCTACAGGTCAACACAGAATAGCTATGGGTACCAGCAGCCAACACCCAGAGGTTATGAGCAACAGACTTCTTTACAGGCAATGACCAACCCCCAAGAACCACACTCTAAATACCAACACTACAACCAATCTCAGCAAAATTATTGTCTTTCGGAGCTGCCTGTCAGATCTCCAGAACAGTACTATCAGACTTGTAGCCCCTCCTCAAGCCATTCGCCTGCTCGATCTGTTGGGCGCTCACCTTCGTATAGTTCCACCCCTTCACCACTAATGACCAATCCAGAGTCTTTCCAGTATGGACAGCCACCAATGACACCTGGAGCAGCCTCCTCCTCATCATCTTCTTCAACTGGTATGCAAGATCAAGCCAGTGCAAACACCATGCTGATGCCCCCAAGGTCTCACCCTTCGCCCAACATATCCCACACAGCATCCCACAGCTATACTACTACACTACAAGCACCTACAATGAAAGAGCGCTTCTCAGAAAAGCTGTTATCAAATCCCAGCTTGTGGAGCCTGAACGCTCTCACCTCCCAGGTGGAGAATATCTCCAATAATGTCCAGCAACTTCTGCTTTCAGAGGCGCTGGTTGCAAACAAGAAAGGCAATAAACGCAGCAGTGGTGGGAGCAATGGCAGCACTGGAAGTGGGGTATCTAATAAGAAGGGTGAAGAATACAAAAGTCCTCCATATCCAGAAAGTGGTGGTAGTGTGAGTGGTGGCCCAATGCATGAACCTTACTCTACCCCACAACACCAGCCATTGCCTATGGAACTCCATGAAGGCGGTTATTCCAGCAGTAGTGATGAACCATTGGACAGAGGCTACTATTACTTTGGCCAGGGCAGAAGTCCAGCCCAAGCCCTTAACAATACGCAACTAAGTCTGGACACAGCCTCATCTTGCTCAATTGCTTCTCCAGATGATATGTCCACCAGATCTGGAGATTCAGGTCTGCACAACCTTACTCCTGATCCTATAAGGTGTCAGGCAGGGCAAGGAGGAGATGGCATGAATACCCCTGTGAAAAGTATCAGTGATGAGAGGTCTCCAACAAGCATCACAATCTCCAGCCCTATGAAACTAGAAAGGGATTCCCCATCACATATACAGCATATCAATCAACCTGTAAAAGAGAACTTTGAAGAATCAGCTTGGACAGAAAAACCTACTGAAAAGGAAGAGGAAGCCGTAGAAAAAACTCTTGACTTCATAAGTAATACACACTCAACTAACCACTCAGAGAAGCAAGAGAAATGGAGAGATGATGAAAAATGCCCAACATTCTACAGCAAAATAAACACAGATATGGCAGGAAAAAACTATTGCTATGAGGATGAAATGTACCAAGAGGTTCAGAGCAAATATGATTCAGACGCAAGAGACTCTATTGAACAATCCCCAGCTAATCTCTCTGATTCCAGTAACAAGGATAATTTCAGTCAAGAGATGAAGTCAGAGGCATTCAAATCTGAATCTCCAACCGCATCTGAGAGCTCTGTGAAAACTTTGCCTTTCATTTCAAGAGGGGACCTTGAACAAGATCAATATTCCACAGAGAAAGACGACAGTTCAGCAAACACCTCTCCAACCCCCCAAGCTGAAGTCCAGGAAGAGTGCAGTAGTGACAAGGAGAGCAGAAATCAAGAGAATGACAAAGAGTTAGTTGAGGAAAGGGGAGAAGATAAGACAAATGAAGAAGAGGAAGAAGTTACTGAGAAAAGTTCTATTTCACAGGTTTTATCTGGAGAAATTAGGAATGATGTTAAAGAAGGAGAAAAAGAAGGCTGTTCACTTAATGAAGATCAAACAAATGATGGAGACATCCAAGGGAGTTCCTCTGAAGATCACTACAGCAGAACAGAAAGTCACAATTTAACACTCCATACTGACAGTGATTTTCCCGGGGGGCATGGCCATCTAAATGCTGCAGCAGCAACAACAGCGACAGATGCTTCAACAAGGGAATCAGCCATTGGCGACACAGCACCTCAGCCACAGTCTGCTATGCCAGTATTCTCTGCTCTCAATGACAAGGCAGTTCCTCCTGCTCAAACTAGAGATCATATTGATCACAGTGATGCTAAGGTTCTGGAGCCAGACTCTCCTCAGCTGCCAGGGAAGTCAATACTGCCCTCTGCTCCTTCCTGGGCTGACACTCCACCATCTCCTCAAAAAGGTGATGATGATATAGAACCAGGCATAAGTTGTGCCAGTGCTGTGACACCACAGGCAAAACCAGAGCCTATGTTTCCATCTGCTCAGCCAAGGACTTATGGTCGCAAGCACGCTAGAGGACGAAGGAAAGCAATACATTCCGGTGTGGCATTAAGGCGACAACTAAGCTTAAAGAAGCAGGAAGAAAAGGAGGATGAAGAAACAAAGAACGCACAAAAAACAAGCATGCCTCCAAGCAAGACTGCTTTATTCTCCGATCAAACTAATCTTGCTCTTCAGGATTCTATTGCGAGCCAGAATCCTAAGATACTGTCAGATGGTTTTCAATCGAGGATGTGCACTCGCTCATTTAATGCTGCAGATATGCAAGCAAAAGTCGAACCTAATGTAAGGCGAAAAGCAGGTCCCAAACCTGGATCTAAGCCAGGCCCAAAACCAATTGCAAAGCCAGGGCCAAAACCAGGTTCTAAATCTGGTCTTAAACCAGGTCCAAAACCTGGACCTAAACCTGGGAAAAGGATAGGACAAAAACTTTCACCTAATGAATCACACATCCCCTTAAAAATTGAAACAGCAGCGAGACAAAAACCAGGGCCTAAACCAGGTTTAAAGCCCGGAGCAAAACCAGGACCAAAGCCTGGATCTAAACCTGGACCAAAACCAGCCCTAAGACCGGGTCCAAAACCTGGGATTAAGCCTGCTGAGGTTTTGACCTCCACTGATGCTGCACCCGTCAAAGCTCCAGTTGGTCGCCCCAGGGGCTCAATTTCAAAAGCTAAATTGATGGACCGGGAAGATTTAAGACAAGTCACAGAAAAGCAAAGCAGGACTAGAAAAGCTCTAAAAACTACAACGCTCCAAGACGACAAGGATGTAAAACCTACACCAGAAGAAAAACGAACTTCCACAGAAATTAAGATACCAGAAAAGGAAAATAACAATATGGTGTTAAGATCTAGAAAGCCATCACAAGACAAACGAACAAAAGAAAAAGAGCGGGAAGGGGAAGGCACTCAAATCCAAATAACAACAGAAAATAAATTCAGTGAAGTTTCTTTAAATGTAGAGGAAGTCGTAGTGGAAAAAATTGTAAATCCAAACCCTGATACCAGGATAAAAACTGATGTTTCGATTGACGAACCTGCTCTACCTGTAATGACAATTCTATCTGAGGGGTCTAAGGAAAAATCACGACCTATTCTGAAGCGGAAATCTAGCCCAGAAATCTCTACAACACCTGTGAAAAAGAAGAGAGGTCCAAAGCCCAAGCTAAGAAATTTGCCACATCAGCCAGTTTTGTTTGAGGAGACTCTACCCACTCCCAAAGAGAAGATTGTCCCTGGTCCCAGAAGAAAGCGAGGACCAACAAGGAAATCTTCTCTGGTCACAGAGGAAGCTTCCCCAAATAGCTGTGGATCTATGAACAGTGATCTTCCTGTGATTCCTCCTCAATGCCCCACTAAAACAAAAGTTCTTCCGCCACGCAAAGGCAGGGGACAGAAATATGAGGCAATGGTACAGAAGATCACATCGCCTAGCTCAAAGAAACACCTCCCCACTACCCAACAAGACAATTGTCTAAGTGAGGATATCACTTCAAAAGCTTTTTCTGAATTTGTCCTTAGGGAAGGTGGGACCTCTGTTCAAACAAATTACACTGACACAACAGATTTCACAAAAGAGGAAATGAAACAGCAAGAAGGAGGTCTTGCAATCGAAAATGTATCACAACAAAGTGAAAAGCATGAACTAAGTCTAGAGGAATCAACAATAGATATATTGAGACCGTTATTGGAAGATGATGTTACAAATACGAATGAAAGACAACAGGACACAGACAAAGGTAAACCAGAAACCAAGATGGATCTTGTTGACTATGAGGCTTTGACTTCAGTAGAGACATCAATAGAAGTTGCAGCTTTGGCGGAGAGGACAGAACAGGCCTCTGAGATTGTTTTTACTGGTGCCACAAAGTCTGTCAGAACTAAGAGAAAGAGATGGGCAATGGTGGAGAGTACAGATGCATCAGTAGTAGCCTTGGAAGCAGACAGTCTCATAATCACAACGCCAAGGCTTGCAAAGCAGAGAGCCATTAAAAACAACCATGAAATGCACCTTAAACAGAGGAGGAAGAAGAGAAAGGGGGAGGCAAATTTAGAGGAAACTGGGACAGTAGCTGAGACAAATGCAAAAGAAACACCACAACCTCTAGAAAAGATAGAGGAGAAGGTGGCCATCACAGAGTCCACAGAACCTCTACCAACTAGCCAGGATAAGTTAGCAGAAACCCCTCAAGCTGTCTCTACAGAACTTAAACAAAAACCTCGAAGAGGCCGAAAACCATCATCAAACCCAAACAAACGGAAGAGAAGCAAAGCCTTAGTCGAGCAAGCTTCTGGGAAGCCAGTGAAGATCCACAAAAAACCTGGGCCAAAACCTGGGATGAAAGATGCAATTGAGGTCATTGAGGCAGTTGTAAGGGCAGCTGGGTGTGAACAGGACAAAAAAGAGGAACAAGAAAAAGAAGAAAGGGAAAGAAGGGGACTAGAGAACACAGAAGGAGAGGTTAGTACCATTGGTCCTGTATTGACCGTTACAGAAAAAAACATGGAGGTCATCTCTGTGAAAAGAATCAGGAGGAGACTACTCAACAGAAATTCCAAACTGTCTTTTTGTCCTTATGTAAGGATCAGCAATTCAAGAGACTTTTCCTCTTGGTGTGCAATAGTTAACAAGCCTGAAGATGCTGTTGTTTTTCAGAGACGCAGAAAAAAGGGCATACTTAGAATGAGGAATCCTTTCACGGTTGCTAAAGCAGTGCCGCACTCCTCTGCCATGCAACTTGGACCATTGGTAAACACAAATCGAGCTGATGTATGTCTTACCTGTTGCTTGTGTGGGAAACCACCAAACTACAAAGGCCTGGGTGATCTGTGTGGTCCCTACTACACAGAAGATAGTATTCCACGGAAAATTCTGACCATCCAACACACGCAACTCTTCAGGGAAGACACCAACAAGACAGATGGGAATGATAGTGGTTGCAGCGAAGAACCAGGTACCTCCTCGAAGACTGAAGATACAATGAATTCTGAAAAGGAGGGAAATACAGAAACTTCTGAAGAGGCTGGCCACAGCAGGCACCATCTCCGACATTACCGGCGGCTAGCAAGGCGGGTAAGATCAGGTCAGGAGGCTGGTCTGAGAAGACTTACGCTTAGAGAGAGATTCAGAAGAATGAAGCAGCTTCAGAACCTCTGCACCGCCACTTCAAAAGAGCAAGAGGACAATGAAAGCACGTTCCAAAGGCTACAAATGCAAGCAGTAGCAAATGAGCATTGGGCACATGAAAACTGTACCATCTGGACCAAGGGGATAATTATGGTAGCTGGAAGGTTATATGGATTGAAGGAAGCTGCCAGCAAGTCAGCTCAAACGGTACGTAAACAATCTAAATACATTTCGTTTTCTGCTTGTTGCTTAATTTGGATTTCTTTAATGATTTTCTTCTCTGTCTGATGAACTCCAGAGCTGTCAAAAGTGCCAGATTTCAGGAGCATCCCTCAGCTGCTGTTGGAGAGGCTGCTCTTATAGGTATCACTACATCTGCGCCAAGGAGATAGGTAAGAGTCCATGGAAGGAAGCAATAAGAGAAAATAGGTTAAACAAAAGCCAAAGATTATTTTTATGAGTTTGAGCTTGAGTGAAGAGTGAAAGAAGAGGCAAGAGAACGTGGGTAAACTGAGAGGGAAAATGCATCGAGGAGTAGCAATATTGAATGCGAAACGATACGTCTGAGAGCTCAGAGGGAGAGAAAACCCGAAAGAGAGCTTTGATTAAAGGGGATGATGAAAGTGGGAGTATGAAAGAGAAAGGAAAGAGACAGAGGGGGGGGAGCGTTTCTATGTGTGCATTATTGACTGCAACCCCTGTGGCTCCATCCATCCATGCGGCTGCCAGGGCTTTGAATGTTGGTGTAGGTGTGTGCACCTACTGATGTGTGTAACGCTTGCCTAAATGCTCCCTAATGTTCATCTAGAAAGCATGTTAACAATATGTATGTTCACTTAGCTCATCTATGTGTGTGTTGCTGTTGCCATTGAAAATGTCAGAGTATGTGACATGACTTACCTTTGTGAAACCTCATGCCATAGAGGTACAGTGCAAGGATTAGAAGGCCTGCCACGTCTGCAGAGCCACCATAGGGAGAAGAGTGAGGCTCTTTTTAATCCTGCTGAGTGCACCAGCCGTATATGCCTGCCTGCTCTGCAACCCATCCACTCAGTCGCGCCATCTTTCTCTTTATTCTTACTTTCTATGCTATTCCTTCTGTTGCATTTTCATCGTTTATGTATTTTTACCATCGACATTCTCCTTATAAATATTATGCATCAGTTGCATTATTTTTCCTCTGTACTTGAAACAACTAGCTTATATTCCTCTTTGCCTTTTCTCTTGCTACCTTTAGGCTGCACATTCCATGAGGATGATTTTTCCATCAAATGCCCAAAACATGAGGTAAGAAACAAAATACTTTATCGACAATTTAGTGAAAACCCTGCATATCAATCATCATTGCTGATAATTACAAATAAAATCCTTAAATACCTTACACACCTTCATATTGATACTTGATTTTACTGCATTGTTTTGTAGAGAAAAGTGTATTTCAGGAATATGCAAAAGTATTTAAACTACCTATTTTCAGAATACAATAACAAGCTACAATAACAAGTATTTTGTAGGCCATAATTTTTGTAAAATTGCAGGAAAAGATTTTAGTGCTTCTTCACTTAAAGAAAGATATGGTAAATGTGACTTTATTTAAAAAAAAAAACTAAATCAAGTACAACTAGTTAATTTGTATTCAGTATAAATATAGCTGAAGTTTTAGAACTCAGAAGATAAGTCAAAAATCAGTATAAACTATAAAATAACATCCCCAGATTGAGGAGAGTTCAAGGAAAGCAACCAAAAGATCAATTTCTTTGAAAGAAAGGTAACACAGCAAATCTCACTAAAAACAACAACCTCACTGTAACATGTAGTTAAAGCAGCATCATGCTGTGGGGATGCTGTGGAGCCTAGGCAGGGTTAATTTGAAAACTGATGAATCTAAAAATGTAAAATAAACATTGAGGAAATTTGTTAGAGGTAGAAAGGGAATGGGAAAGAACTTACCTTCCAAAAGCATCTTAACCACACAACCAGGATGGAATGGGCTTTAGCTGAATTGGCCCAATGATCTGAATCCAATGGTAAATCTTTTTACAGCTCATACCCTGACTCTACATCCAATCTGACTGGGCTTAGGTTATCTTTGCAAAAAAATAAAGTATAAAAGAAAATGTACAAATGTGGTACAGGCATTATCCAAAACATCTGTAGTTTTAGTTGCAACAAAATATTGGCCTAGAAAGTTTTAACTTAGGGATCATAAATATGAATACTGTGGCTGTTACCTTTTTTCTGTCAACTACTTGAAATCAGATTGGAAATAAAACATAAAAAAAAAACTGTCTAACAGTAGAACAATGAACAAAATTGCAATGAAATTAGAAGATGTTTTAACATTATCCAGAAAATAAACCAGATCATTAACACTCACAAAAAAATCTAACAGCAACTAGAAAAAGCTGTTTCGTAGAAACAGCAAAGTGGGAATGCTTTTTTTGCTGAATGAAAAAAGCTGAAATTAACTGCATAACATATGAAAATGTGATAGGAAGTCATCAGAAACTTCAAACTGCAGAAAACAATTGAATCATCTGAAGATTGTGTAGGGTAGAATCATTTGGCAGTAAAATGGCAGAAACAAACTCATCTTAAAAGCAGCACAGCCAAACCATACATAATATCAAAAAATGTCTTTAATGTGTGCACTAGAAGAGTCTTAATATAATGTCTCCCAAGTTTCTAGAAAAAATTCTAAAGAAATTTTGAAGGGGGGCCACCTACTGCCCAGAAACATGTCAGGCGTGTTATGAATTAGCAGCAAACAGAAAAGCTTAATTCCTGTCCAGAAAAAGAGCAAAATTAAGCCAAAGTTCTCAGCATAGGCTGAAAAACATTCAATTAGCTGAATCAGAAAAGAAATTACAAAGAAGAACTTGCATCTTATCTGGTTGAAGAAAATATGAGTAGCTCAAGGATGGGAAGTAAAATGTTGAGGAAGATGGTATTGAATAAGTATCAAAACTTTGAAATTGTGGAAATGTCAAGACTTGGCACAACAATTTGAAATGATTTAAAATGTGTCGGTTGATCAGCATAAAGAAAACAGTGTCATCCTTAGAGGATTGAAATATACAAACCTATGTGCAAGACTGACCATGAGAAGCAGAGGAAGGACAGAGAGAGAAGCTTATAGAAAGAGAGCTAATACCACTTAAGGAGCTGAATTTATCAAAAAAATGTAACCTGCATGTTACGAGCCGCTGTGTTGATGACAGCACCGTTGGCAGGCTTAGGCTGCATGTTACGAGGTTAGCACATGCTTTATTACAGTGTAAATCTTAGAACCTGATTAAGAAATATGCACTGAGGTGTGTGGTCAACAGGCCTTGGTAGTGTAATTTGAAGAAATTGGTTGAGTTTGGGTCATAGCTACGAGCCATATGGCACAATGAATGAGTGTATGTAAGGAAGAGGCTTTTATTTTGTAGAGTCCCTTTAGTCTTATTTCGAAAGTCTATCATGGATGTGTGTCAAGGGAAGGGTCATGCCCAGCAGTGATATAGAATCCATTCCTAAATATGAAATCACTGGTTTTCCATGTTATTGGGTGAGTAGATACTGTATTAGAGCGTAAATGGGAGACTTTTATTGTGAAATTTGCTCTGGGGTATGTTTTGAAAAGGTCCCTAGAGTCTAAAACAAGCTGGTAGAGTTTGGGTCATAATGCTGAGCCATTTGCATCAATTAATATGCGAGTATAATACAGAGGCTTTTATTGTGTAGGGTCACTGGAGTCTTATTTTGAAAGTCTAGCAGGGTTGTGTGTTGAGAAAAGGGTCAGACCCAGCAGTGATACTTGATGACTTTCCAATCGTTAAATCACTCTTTTCCCTTGTTATTAGGGCAGTAGATAAAGTGGCAATGGGAGGCTTTTATTTTGAAATTTTCCATGTGGTGTGTTTTGAAAACCCCCTAGAGTCTCATTTAAAAAAAAAAGTGGTTGAGTTTGGGTTATAATGTTTAGCCATATGCTGGGAAAAAATATGAGTTTAATGTAGGGGCTTTTATTTTGGAGGGTCCCCGGAGTCTTATTTTGAAAGTCTATCAGGGTTGCGTGTGAAGGGAAGGGTCATGGCCAGTAGTCATATTGTATCCATTTCCAAATGTTAAATCAGTGTTGTCTCCCTCCATTAGATTAAAATGTGCTGTTTAAAGTGGCAGAGGTAAAATCCCTTTGAAGCTCGGTTACCTTGACAACGCTTAATGAGCCTGTCAGTTAAAGAGAGAAAAGCGCTTCACTTTCGTTCCTTTCCTCTCAGGCTTTTTTGAATGGGAATATCAGCTCAGAACAAATGAGTGCTGAAGACAAACCGTAAATGGTATCTAAAAAATTATTTCAGTCTAAGCGACAGCTATCCTTTGTCTCCAATTGGGATAATGTTCATGGCTGTAGCTCATTCACAGCCTTAATGGGAAGGAGAAATATAAAGGTTTGTAAATCCTGCTGGTCTCATTAAATAACATGGAGTTCCATGGTAGAGCAGAACTCTCAAAAGCAAAACTTCCCCTGCGAACAAACGAGCGGTGAGCCAAAACCATAAAAGGTATTCAAAAAATTCTTTCACCGTTGGCGTCAGCCATCCTTCGGGTTCGACTGTGCCAACTTTCATGTTTCTACTAAAAATTATTTGGCCACGGTGACGATGTAAAAATTTGCATTTTCTGAGTTTGAGGATTTTTCTCAGAATCAGCGTTTTCCTATGCCCGAACAAGTCAGCTAAACAGCTAAACCATAAATGATATTGAAGAAATTCCTTCAATGTGAGTGCTAGAAGGTTCTGTAGATGTTCTATACCAAGTTTCATGTTAGTACATCAAATAGTTAATAAATGGGAGCGATACGAAAATATGTATCGTTTTGGATTTGGTCTGTGATTTTTGGAAAATCTCTCATTGGATTTCTATTGGGGAAGTGTGGACTTCTTCATGGTCTGGGCCAAACTGTCGGAAAACCGTAAATGCCACATAAATTAGGGTTATATTTCCTGAATCCTGATAAAAATCCCTACGTTTTGATGTATAATTTATTTCAATTGAGTTAAAAATGAGGGACTGAGAATAATTTGTTCGGAAAAACCAGAACAGCTCAAAAGCTAGAGCACGCACTCTAGCAGTTGAAGAATTCCGTCCATAGACTTCCATTATAAATCTGAAAATCTTAAAATTTTCTTTTAAAGTTTGAAGCTTCACTGAAACAAAACTGTAAAAGTTAGCAAAAAGCTGAGTTAAACACTAATAGCAGAAAGATACGGAAACATTTTAAAAGTTGAATGGTGTTTCTAGCTGAAAGTATGCTGAAGTAGTTAAAAGTCGAAGATGATAAAGTTTTATCTGAATTTTGCTGAAATCTAAGAATTCTACATGCATTTCAATGGGACAAAAAAAACGCAGAAAAAGCAGAATATCGCGAAAACTACAAAAAATATCTTTACCAAAAGACATAGCACAATTCTCCTGGACAAGCTGAACGTTTTGATACCAAAATTGTTGAAATCGGTTGAAAACTGCGGGACTAGTTAGAGTCAGAAAAATTTGAAGTGAACAACAATAAGTGCATAAGCATTCCCACTTGATAATGCATTTAGGTTTTTGTTCAAACGTGGTTGTTAAAGGAATAGTACACCCAAAACATGATTAGCCTTCATTTTCTACTCACCTCCATGCTGAACAACACTCTGGAGTACTTTTTTGATATCTCAAATGCATCTGGAGATCTGGGAGGCTTCTTGCTGTCTGCTGACATTCAAATAATGGAGGTCTATGGCGCCCGAGACAGAAAGGTCCACAAAAGTCCACAAAAACTTGTCAATATTCCTCCATACTGCTCGTCCAATGTAATCCAAGTGTCCTGAGTGGGTAGCATCCAGAATTTACTCGAAACGAAGTCATTTAGAACGTTTTAGAGCCTAAACAGTAGTGTATAGGATTTCCTAATAGCGCCCCCATGCGCGCTCACGATTCTACGGAAGCCGGCAGACCAAACCAGCGCATTCAGCTCGGCAAAGAACTCATGCTCTTCCTCAACACTGAAGTCCTCAGACATTTTTCTTTCGTTGTTTCTTTCTTTGCACAGGTAAACAGCACATTTCTTCTTCTACGCTTGCATTATCGGCAGACCAGACGCTGAATGCGCACTTCCTTCCGGTTTGGTCTGCCGGCTTCCGTAGAATCGTGAGCGCGCATGGGGGCGCTATTAGGAAATCCTATACACTACTGTTTATGCTCTAAAAACATTCTAAATGACTTCGTTTCGAGTAAATTCTGGATGCTACCCACTCAGGACACTTGGATTACATTGGACGAGCAGTATGGAGGAATATTGACACGTTTTTGTGGACTTTTATGGACCTTTCTGTCTCGGGCGCCATGGACCTCCATTATTTGAATGTCAGCAGACAGCAAGAAGCCTCCCAGATCTCCAGATGCATTTGAGATATCAAAAAAGTACTCCAGAGTGTTGTTCAGCATGGAGGTGAGTAGAAAATGAAGGCTAATCATGTTTTGGGTGTACTATTCCTTTAAGTTTGTGTTGTTTGAGCTATTACATAGCTTTTTTGACTCCAGAGATCCCAAGGTAGAACCTCAGAGCACAAAAATGTTTTATAGTTGTGAAGTATTTTATTAGTAAATGTATTTCCAGCTCATTTTTGTGCATTTGCAAAAGGACAAATTTACTGTTGAAAAAACGGTTACCAATAGAAATGTGTTAACAATCCAAATATGCTTCAGATAGAATTAGACTGACAAATAATTCGAAAACATAACCTAAGGAGTCAAATTCTACAATATAGGATTTGAAACATTGAAACATTGTTAGAGCTTTGATATCAAACATAAAATACTGTCTTAATGCATAAAGTCAAATATTTCTGTGACTGGGGGGACAGTCACAAATAGATTCTAAGAGGTCCAGTAAAGATCCATCAATATTTAATGAGAAGTAAAACCTTTAAATTGTAATCTCCTGTATTTAGAATCAAACAATTTGGCTTATAAGGATTCCCTCATTATGATGTATGGTTGCGCATTTATTCCCTCTTCTTGTCCTGCTTTTCCTTTTATACCCTTACTGTACCAGTGCATATACAAATACTGAATTCACATGAGTCTTTCATAGGATATACCGTATAAAAAAAATCAAGTTATATGCTTATGTACATATAAACAGACTGTGCACTCGCTCATTTAATGCTGCAGATATGCAAGCAAAATCGTACTTAATGTAAGGTGAAAAACTGGTCCAAAACCTGGATCTAAGCCGACCCAAAACCAATTGCAAAGACAGGATCAAAAACAGGTTCTAAATCTGGTCTTAAACCAGGTCCAAAACCTGGACTGAAACCTGGGAAAAGGATGGAACAAAAACTTTCACCTAATGAATCACACATCCCCTTAAAAATTGAAACAGCAGCGAGACAAAAAACAGGGCCTAAACCAGGTTTAAAGCACGGTGCAAAACCAGAACCAAAGCCTGGATCTAAACCTGGACCAAAACCAGCCCTAAGACCGGGTCCAAAACCTGGGATTAAGCCTGCTGAGGTTTTGACCTCCACTGATGCTGCACCTGTCAAAGCTCCAGTTGGTCGCCCCAGGGGCTCAATTTCAAAAGCTAAATTGATGGACCGGGAAGATTTAAGATAAGTACCTGGAAAGCAAAACAGAACCAGAAAAGGTCTAAAAAAAAAAGCTTTAATAGGATATGCTGTACAAAATAATCAAGCTATATGCTTATGTACATATAAACAGAGAAAGAAGATGAAAGGAAAAAAAGTCCCTTTCCTGTTTTTGCCTTAAAACCACAAATTTCCAATTCTTTATTCCAAACTCACTGATTGTTAAACATTTTTAAGCAGCCTACATCCACCAAACACTCTTAGACCTCTGCTATTTCTAGGGCTCCCTGCTTTTTGGTGAACATTAACAGTCTGCGCCACACCTGCCCTTCCTGTGGGACAGACACCATCTGCTGGTGATGAATGGACACTGCAGCACAGAGTGGAAGGTCAAATGCGAGGGGGTGGAGAGAGCTAGAGATGCTGACATTCAGCAGAGAGCAGCAGTGCATTGAGGCAGCGGTGGCACCGGCCCCCCTCCCCCTCCCCTCTCTGCATCTGCATTTTCTCTTCCTCCCTCCCTCCCTCCCTCCCCTTCCTCTTCCTCTCCTGCTCTCCTCTGTGCAGACTGGCAGGGATGAAAAGCTGGCAGCTGATCAAAACACCCCACCCACCATTGCTGCCTGTTATCCTCCCCACATGCTCGCTCCACCATTGCTCTCTAGTTCTTCCTCTCATTATTTCTCCTTTCTCCTTCTTTTTCCCTGTTAGCCTCATTCCGCTTCTTTGCTCTCCCGCTGCTCCATCTCTCCCAGCGTCTCACTCCATTCACCTTCTGATATCCTATAAGCTCCTCGTTTTGTTTTTTTTCTCTTTCCCTTCATTCTCCCTTCACCCTTTCTCAATCAGCCCTTTTCTCACCCGCTTCCTTTCTCATCCTCTCCCTGCACCTCCCGTTCACCTCCACTCCCACATGTGAGCGGCAGAGATGAAGTGTGAGAAACAGATAGAAAATGAGAGCAAGTCAGAGAGAGATTGTTGTTAGCTGAGCTGAGGCAGAGCTGTCATCAGGCTAAGGGATCTAAAGGGCTGCACGTCTGTGCCGAGCCAATTCGAGCTGAGCAGCCTAATCAAAGGAAAGAGGAGACACGGATAAACATGCACAAGCAACCCACCAATGAGTCCCCATGTCAGAGGACTCTTTCTATCCCTGCTTTTCTCACTTTAAGGCTTATTGAAATGCACCCTGATGTAATATATAGTTTGTGCATCAACATGGGATCATTTTTAGGTTAGATCACAAATATCCTCATGGATGCAAAAATAAAACATGGACATTAACACAGTTTGGGCTGCAGCTGAGCTAGAAAAAAACCCAAGCAGAATCAGGACAGTTATATCAGAGAGAGCAGCCGACTGCGAGAGGATGAGAGTGCGAGAAAAGAAGAGCAACAAAAGAGGAGAGCTGTTCGGTGATGTTAAGGTGGGAAAAAATAAAGGTGTAAAGCATAATGTGTTACTACAGGGATGTGAAAATGGAGAGAGAGAGAGCATAAAAAGAAAGACAAAGGACAGAGTGCTAAGCAGGGCATGAGGATGGGCAGCTGGCAGTTCGGAGGCTGGATGAAAGGCTTGCAAAAACATTCGATTTATCATTTAAACCACAAACCTCAGTCTATCTTATTATTTGATGGATCAACATAAAGCTGTAACTGCAGCAAAATAATTGTTTTGTGAATGATTATCAACACATGGTATGGGTGCAGCTGTTCTGTACATTTCTCAGAGGTTTGTTGGAAAATATTAGTGAACAAACAGCCTTATGAAGGATCACAGCGGATAGGTCAGAGGTAACATCATGGGGTGGTTTAGAGGAAGGTCAGTTCTCCAAGGCTGTGAGTGACAGACTGGGAAATGAAAATTTTAATCAGAGAAGCAGCAGAGGTCCATCAAACCCCGGCTTGAGGGACAAAAAGGAAGCATAGAGAAAACAATAGTACAGCTGCAGTGGTCCTTTGCTCAGATTGGATGGAAAGGAAACGTTTTGCTCCATTTGCATAAATATGTGTCAGAAAAGTATCAACAAGACATGGTTTAGCATGGAAAGGGAAGATCATGGGAGGAGACACCTGAGTAGAATGGTCAGTCAAGGTTCAGATTTGTTTCTATATATTGCAACATTTGAAATGTACAGAGATCCATCCATCTATTTCCTCCTGCTTAGTCCTTGAGAGAATCCACACATGCTCACGGAGAACATGCAATCTCCATCCAGAAAGACCCCAGGCCTGGAATTAAACCTGCAGGCCAATGTACAGAAATGCTTTCCATTATACCTAAGTGAGTTTTACAATTGTTCTGTAAAAAAGAATGTGCAAAAAATCTAGTTTCAATTTTTAAAAAATAAAAACTTGCTTCAAAACGTGTTTACTCAAAGCTTTGAATAAATGCAACTAAATATAAACGTATCCAACATTTTTTCAGATTTCTGTTTGACTTAAATCCTGGTAAATACACCAAAACCTGTGGTTGTAGTACAACCAAATAAGAAAGGGTTCTAGAGAAATGGAAACTCATGTAAGGCAATGAAAGCACATTGCTGCCAGAATGGTAGCACAATTACAAAGTCCTTTTTTTTTTTTTACAGTAAACACAGTCAGCTGCCTTCATGCCCTCTTTTATGCAGCTGCCTCATTTTAGTGCTTCCTGCATATTTCCCTCTCACACAGTTCTGCATAAGCCTCCCTCTCTGTGCTCAGAGTGGCCTGGAGGCTTTCCACCTGCATCACAGCTGCCTGAAGCTCTTTCTGTCTCAAACAAAAGGAAAATAAAAAAGAAGCTCATAAATTAGGATGATGAAAGTCGCTCTAAATGTCTCTAAATTTCTGCTTTCTTCTTCCACAGGACCTGTAAGATATCTCAGTATTTCACCTTCACTATCAATATCATCATTCTGCCACTTATCCCGCAAGCCAAAAATGCTGCAAGAACTGCAGTGATGAATGAGAATAGGCACGATGGCCAGAGGTGGTGTCAAGGTGTGGAGCCAGGAGCGGCTCCTATCCTGGAGAGCTGAACAGCTGCTTCCTGGAAACAGTCCATCACGATAAGGCAGGCAGTGGTAACACTGTCTATGTGGGGGAGGAGCTTCTGCAAGGACCCTATTGCAAACTGCTGGACATGCAGAGCGAGGAACATGTGTGTATGCACGTGTCCGTCCTTCATTCGGATGGATTCCTATCATCCTCAGAAAACTGGGCAGGAACGACCCTTGGTTGCCTCACCAAAGGGGCCAACAGGATCCAATCCACACGTTATCATTGTGCATAAGTGATGACCATTGCATACTCATTCCACAGCCCCACCCTCACCATGTGTTTGTGTTTAAATATGTGTCTGAGTGCAGAAGTGCATCTTCAGCGCCCGATATCGTCTAAAAAAATATATATAGATAAAAAAAAAATGTACCAAGTGTCAAACATGATGGCGGTTGCATCATAATGTTGGGCTGTTTCATGACTAAAACAACTGTTACAGAAAATAGACAAAAAAATACAGCAACCAACCACTGGATGTACTATCTCAATGTTTGCATTTGTGTTTGGAACAAGAGACAAAGCTAAAAATAAATGAGGAAACTGTAAATGACGTGCTTTCCAGGTTCCAAGGGGAAAAAAAATGTATTTTAATAAAATGCTCTTATCTTTAAAGGTGTGTATTGATGTGCATTATGACTAGGCAACATCATTGCGTCACCCTTGGTATATGTCAAACTTTGTGTTACTCAGAAATTAAAATATATAAATATATACGAAAAAAAAGCATAAAAAAACATGAAACCTGTTGAGTTTGATTCAACTATGTAAACATTCAGTAAATACAGCAGAATTCATCATCATACCAGATCAAATGAGGACTCGGATTATGGACACAGAGTCAGTTTCATCCCACTTCAAGTCAATGTACAGCTCAGAAATATCCGAATATGTGTAATTAATCCGCAGCTACGCAAAGAGACGCTCCACCTGTCTGTCTGCGTATGGAAAATGTAGCCTCTTCTTCTCTCTGCTGGGCAATATAACGTTGCACTGCGCAGAGAGGCATTAAACGTTCTAGTCATATCAGAAAGAGATATTTAAGTATTAAAGCAGAAAAGAAAGTGCAAAAACGGCACACCAAACGTTCTCTTTTTTCAAAGCTCATTATTTAATGGTGTACAGAAGTATTTGATGCTGTTTAAATGTAAGATGTGATGTACTAATATAATTGTGTATAGTATTTCTTAGAGATGTTTATTTTCTATAAAATGGAATACGTTATTGCTTATAAAATGTTATTAAAAGAATCCATTGATGATACAAAACAAAAACAAAAAAAAAAACAAAGAAGAAATCCCTTTTTTTGGAATGTCACTTGTCTTAAGTGGAAGCATGCCGTTTTCTTGATTTTCATGTCTGTTTGTTTTGGACTCGACGACACAGCATCACTTTGTTTGAAATGTTTTTTGTAACGCCAATGTTAAATATACCAGCACCTTTCAATGCTGCTACAACCAATGCCTGCTGTTTTTGTCTTCACTCATCGCACACTTTGATACATTAAGGGAAATCCCAGACTTAAAGGTATAGTGGAGGATTTTCACAAATCTTTGAAAAGACCCACCCTCTCCATCTTAAAAAAAATGTACATGCCCAACCCTGTACCCGCTCCAGACAGGGAATGCCTATTAAACGCGCGCAAGAGCCCTTCTCTCCTCGTGCACGCTCAGTTTAAAAGTTGCTGTTTGCATTGCTCATACAAGCTTACTGTCAAAAAGAAGATTTGCAATTTTTCCACTATGTCAGACTCTCCCAAAGTAAGTGAAAATGGGGACGAGCACATAGGACGACCTTATGTAAACTTATCACCTGAATGATTGACAATTAGGAGGACCATTTATTTTGATGATCCACCCAGAAAAAGAAAATCCACTACTATACCTCTATCTCTAAACTAACTGTACAGTTTATATTAACAGACGAGACTGGACTTCACTGTATGCATAAAATAAAATAAAAAAATCAGATATACAATAAACTTTTAAATGTGATTTAGGGATTTGGCATCTAAATAAATTATAGATAAGACAGGAAATTGGCTAAAGTGAATCAAGACGTAAAAATCTCACCTGCTTTTTCTCAGTATTTTGGGGAAAAAAATATTTTTTTGTCTTTTGATTAGGTACGCACTGGAAAAAATTCTAAAAAAATAAAATAAAAATCCTTCTCAATGTTTTGATAATAAAATTTGGTTTGTGTTTCTAGATGTTAAAATTGAATGTCATAAAATCTAAGACACCAAAAAGAAAGTGTCTTACATGCAGTCTCCCTTCATTTACATCTTAACTTTAGCACAAACGGTATAAGCTTTACTTTGTAATGTCACTGCCTACATATGTCAAGCATAGGACAGTATGATCTTTACGGTATATTTTAAAAAGCACCTCCCATGATACAGATATTTGGTGTCTGGATATAGGAAAAACAGAAAAATCATTTATTTTGTTTGTATAAGGAAACAAAATACACAATTTTCACTAACCTTTTCCTATTTAAGAGGTAGAGGTAGTTAAAACATATCACTGGTAAAGAAATGCATTCTCTTTCACTCTGGCAGCTAAGGTTCCTCTCAGGACATTTTAGATCATTTAAAAATCTGTATTAAACCAAATTAAAATTCTTCAAAACTTTTTTTTTTTTTTTTTTTACAAAAAAAAGGACAATTATTAAGTTACAACTTTGTAATTGCCACTTCTGTTTTGTAACAAACATGCAAAGACTTAAACATCACTCTCTGCATGTCAATTAAAACTTAGAGGTTAAAATAAAACGCAAAACATTTCTAATTGATGCAGGAAGCTCAAAGGTAAACCAACATTTTTTTTTTTTAAATACATATCTGACAAAAGAGGAAAAATACAGGTCAGTGCAAGATATCAGACATTTCCTGGGCTTATTTAAATTTTCTTTGTGATGTTGGATCATTCCATGAATTGTTTACCTGAAGAAAAATAGAAACCTATAGGTCACCCTTCTACAGAGCCTGTCATTCCTGTAGATGTGTGTCCTAAGAAAGTTTAAAACCATCATTGTGATAATATTTTCATAATATGATTAACCAATAAAGACATGATGCATCAAGTTTTCTTTACAAAATGATTTAATATTTACATGTAAGATGGAAAAAAAGAACAATATAACAAGGGAGGAAATAATCTCAGTTACAGGACTGTACCTTAAAACAAAGCTGTTTCAAATATTTTCAAACGTCATCTGACCAACTATAAAAAAAACAGACTGGTACTGGAACATGAAAAAACTTTTTTTTTGAAAATGTTTACATTACATAAAAAAAAGAACTCATGATAATGTAGTTCATGTCAAATTATGAAACCAGTAAGGGGAAAGAGCAAATGTTTTCCTTGAAGATGGTGTTAAATACAGAAGAAAATGGATGTTTTCCTTTTGCCTCATTGTAGACTGTTTATGATATCATAAATGTCCAAGACCTAAAAAGTTCAAAAACCTTAGATCTATGCTGTACAGTCATGACTTGACTAAACCTGCTCTAAGAAAAGCACTTAGAATGAATTTAATGAGAGGAAATGAGCTTGTATCTCTGCTTATGCAAAATAACTCCTAATCAAAGTTCCTCCAGATTATAAATATGTTGTAAAATATGTACACAGCAAAACAAATACACAACAGCTATGAAAATAATTTCATAAAGCCTTATTGTTAACTCACTGAAAGCAGCCTGGCAGGGCTAGTGCAGATAGGAGGCGGGGAGGGTTAGCCAGCTGGTGACTAAACTTCTGCAGCATGGAGTGGCTTCCCACACTCAAACCAAAGAGTTTGGTTACATTTTATTTATCAACCCCCCCCCCCAAAATAAAAAACCAAGGAAACTTTTCACTCCCACACGCTGAGCCCTCTTTGATTTGGGAAAAAGGTGCAGATCTGCCAAACAGTCAGGAGAAGGGAGGGTGGAGCTCCACTGAATGAGCTCCTCACCTCTCTGCTCCCACCTCTGGGAAGAGGTGGCTCCTCATTGTGGTCAAACCGGGGCACTGCATTTTATTCTCACAAGGGAGTTTGGCCAGATTGAAGAAAAAAAAAAAACATACTTCCCATTTTCTCACATTAATTCATACATTTCTTTTAAATGACCATAAAGGAAAAGTGCCTTAAGATGTGGGGTCGGATACGTAGGAGGAGCAACCTGTCAGTTTGTTGCCACTACACATCAAATAGAGGCGGTTTCAGCAGAAGCAAGTCTCTACTCTGCCTCTACATGTGCCCTTTTGTATAAAACAGGTGTTTTAATATACAGCGTCCATGCAAGTCTCCCTCCCGCACCTCTGCTTTCCCTCCCTCTAGCTGCTGGTGACGGTGGTGCCACTGCCCAGTTTAATGATCATCTGCTGGCAGTCGTGGAGGGTCCTCTTGTCTCCGAGCTTCTCCAGGGTGCGCGCTGCGTCGGCAAGCATGCCCACCCTCTGGCCCGGAGCCGACAAGAATGAGGGGGGAAGGTAGCGGCAAGCCAGCATCACGGCCTCAGCCTGCTCCCGTTGGCCGGGCCGCGCCTCGCACTCCTCCTCTGCACGCAGATAAAAAACAAAAACATTAGATCACAGATGGTCAGGAGACTATATCAGAATGTGAAGCTTTATGTCTTTGCTTTCCTTGCTTTTGTCACTTTACAACCACAAAATTCCACATTTTGTTGAGATTTTATGTCATATAAACACAAAGAAACAAAGAGATGAATGTATTTTTCCCCCTCAGTAGCCTATAAATTAAGTTTTTATGAAGCTGTTCTCTGAAGGCCTAAGTTTTCTTCACGCAGCAGATCTAGTAACTGCAGCGTAGATCTCCCTTGGGTGGTGGACACCCATGTTTTGTTGGGTTTGCAGTTTTGCTGCATGCCCTTCACTTTTAGACGAGGGATTAGAAAGTTCTGGTGGAGACTTTTCAAAGCTTCTCATATTGTTTCAAACCTAATTTAAACTTTAGACATCTCCTTAGATGATCAGCGTGTTTTTTTTTAGGATGTTGTTTATTCCTGAATATCATCTAACATAACTCAGAGGCCTTCATAAAGCAGCTGTGTCAGATAATTGTTGCTTCCTCGAATCCCCTTAAGACCCAATGAAATGGGTTGAAGAGTGAAACGTGGTGTACAATACATTTTATGCTGTTTTCATGACAACAAAACTCAGAACTGCAATAAAAGAAGTAAGCAACCTGAGAAACTTCTCCAGAAATGTTCTGTGTCTGGGTTATTTACACGGATCAGATGAAATCTAAAACGAAAGCCTCTCCATACGGAAAAACACACCTGTCTTGGCTCCGGGTGTTGCTCGGCGCCGCAGTGAACGGTCCAATAGCTGATGAGTTCTGGTGGGACTGGCCCCCGCCATCAGCCTGGCGGTAGCTTCGTGAAGGAACAACTGGAAAGAAGCAGAGAGAGAGAGAGAGATCAGAGGCAAAGAGGAAGAATGAGAGCGAGTGATGATGACTCACACCTAATGTTCAGCTCTACCTCAGAGACACTCGGAGGCTTTGTGAACAGCGCTGCCACAGACTCGCCTCAGGCGCTGTGTGCGTCTGTCTGTGTGTGTTAGGAGGGGAAGTACCTAGAATTGTATTTTACTGAGATTTTTACCATCTACTTATCCTGAACGCATTTAGTATGAGCTCTGCCTCGTTTACACGTTTAACATGTGATGTACATGTCCTGTTTGCGTACTGGAAAATTACAAATTTGATTACTTACACCATACAAGAGAAACAAGTCTGCAACAAACCTGCTAAACTAATGAACTGAAGCATTTCTTATTTGTGCTTCTGTTTTAAAAATTAGAATTTCTAAGGACTTTTTTTAATAAAATATGATACGATGGATTTTTCCTTGCAGATACTCATAATGGGAAAGACAGGATTGTACGCAGCTTTATTAAAGTAATTGTCTTTTATTACGGCCAGGACTTTTACTTGTATAGATTTTCACATGTAAAAACAAAAATGATTGCAATTAATTGCATTTTATTTCTATATGTACTAAAATCCAGAAAAAGCCTATTTAACGTTTCTTGTACACAAGTAAATCTGACAAACAAGCAGCATCAGTGACATAAGTCAGTCTGATAAACTAAACCGCGAACCACTGAAATGGACATGGATTGTTTGTCTAGGTAACTAACTAGCTTAAGTGCTATATGTTTTAAATGAACTAAACGTCGGGTAGCAAATGTTGATCTCTGAAAGGCCATGCTTTCTGCAAAGCTCTACTGCCATTGTCATTATTAGAAACGCAGCTTTAACTTTGGGTTACAGCAAACTCTGAACTCTTAAAGGCAATAATGCATTCCTTGTTAATCTGGATTTTTAGCATATTCAGCTAAAGGTATTGTGCAATAATTAATGTTAATGTACACATAAGTACACACTTCTAAAGAAGTAGGTTTTTTTGCTTCATTAATTTTTTTTTCTTTTATATAAATCTACACGGATTA